ATGGTTAAAATCAAGTAGATCTCTAAACATATGAGAAACTTAAAAATGGACGGTGTAGATAATATGTTGCTAGATGCATTATTTCTTGTACTTAAAATCTGTGTTTTTTTTTTTTTTTCATATTCATACATCTCGATGTCCAGATGATCAATTAGTAGATGGTTTTTCAACATTAAAACTACATTTTCCGATAGATTTTTTAGTTTCATTTTTAATTCTACATTGTAAAGTTCCAAGCTTATATAAACTTTTTCTTTTACTTTTTGAATGGTAGATACTCTTCATTTACTTTTCTTGAAAAGATGTAAAGTTTACATTTCTTTAGCTTTTTACTATTCATAAGCTTTTTTGAGGTGATGTAAATGTGTTACTATTTATTTACTTTTCCTTTAATAAGATGTAAAGTAAGATTTGTTTTATTTAATTTGATGTAAAGGAGGAACAAAGATTCCCTCCTGAGGCCTATAAATTGTACCCCTTGTATTCTAATGAAGCAAGAGAATTGTGAAATCAAAATTGTCTCTTTAGTGATATTGTTTTCTTAATGCATTAACCCGAAAGCCCGACTATCCTTAGTCCTGTTCCTAAAATGAGTGAGTTCACGGCAGCGAGGTACTGCTCATGGTGGCTATTGGGGTTGATTTCATCACACCCAGCAGGCCTATAAGTCTGAGTAAGTCTCTCAAGCACCCTGATAGGATTCTTTCTCATCTTTTTCTCGTAGAAATCACCCATGTAGGAGGGATCTGATAAGGTATTTTTGTCCTCTCATCTCCTTCCCGTCTCTTCTTTCTCTTTATAAAAAGAAAAATACAACTATGGAATCTTCACATCTATGATCCACCCAAAAAATTTTCTATATCTCTTTATTCAGTTATGTAAACAGAGATCGATAGACATAAAAGCTATATCAAGAAATACAATTGAGTTATCCTAGAAATCCAATTGAAGGGTGTCATATGAGATAAATAAGAGATGTTGTGCATGAACCTTGAATTCATGGTTCATATCTATATGCGAAAGGGAGAATATATAGGAGTGTGAGTTCTAAATTTTTCACACATATTTTTCCTCCAAATTCCCTAAAAATCTCTCTCACCTTTTCTCTTTATAAACCCTTATCCTTGACATCTTTTTGCTAAAAAAATCACTTCAATTTGTTATATAAATCTAATGATAAAGTTGCCAAAAGAATCTGTATCTCCTCAAAAATCTTTTTTAATTTTAAGGCTCTGAGGGTATAACCCTTGATAGAGTAGAATAGTGGACAAGGATTTGTGTAGCCGACTCCAAATAGTTGGGAAAAGGCTATGATGATGATGATGATGATCCAAATCTTGATTTAGAAAATTGTTATGAAGAAGAAATAGAAGGGAATGACAAAAGAAAATGTAATAAAAAATTTAGAAAGGTCTTTTTATGCTAATTAAAAATAGAACTACAAAAGTAGAAATTTCTTTAATAGTAATTAGCTTGTCTAAACAAGAAAACACAAAAAAGAAATTAGAAAATATTTTGTATAAAATCAAACAACTATTAAAATAATATTGAATAATCAAGAATGAAGGAATACAAACATTACTTCTAAATAAATATTAAAAACAACCTTCTATCCAGTCATTTTAGCAGGAGCACTATGCAACGCAAATGCCATTTTGCAAGTATTCCAAGAAAGGGGTCAGGTGTTTGAAGAGCTTTGAACGTATAAGACAGGGAGGGTGGGGAGAAAGGAGAGAGGATTATGAGCCAAAGATATGCGTAGCATAGAAGCTCTGGAGGGAAATCATGAGTTGAAGACTGGGGATGATCAAACAAACTCCACAAGGGCATTAAGAATTACACAAGTGAAATGGGGAAGGGACTAATGCTATTCTAGATATCGCAACACTATCTGAAATGAACTCCCAAGCATGCTTTTCTACTCTAGAGCCACAACTGTTTTAGTAATAGTTGGACTGCATGTGTGAAACATCTTCTAAACATTCAGTAGACAATGAACAAGAGATGAAGTGTTGTGAAGCATCAATGATGCAGTGATGGAAAGATTGATATTATTTCAAAGATCAAACCCAAGTGGAAGGCACCTCAATTGAACAACTGAGAGGACCAAAAGGGAAAGGTCAAAACTTTCCAAAGAGTATTTCCTTCCATTCAATTCCATGGATGTTTACTAAAAGGGAAGGTAGGAGGCATGAAGGAGTAGGGTCTTTGGTAACTTCACATAGTAGACAATTGGCATGTGACATGGTATATTCAAGGATTAAGTGAGGGTTAGGGAACATAGGAATAACTAAAGAAAAAATCCTCACTCCTCAACCAATTAGTTAGAGAAATTAGCAGAAGCTGGAAAAGTGGCTAGGCCTGTCCTTTGATACTTCGCAAGAGAAATCAACGATGATCGACTTTTAATGTTGAAGACACAAGAGTGAGGATGTAAAGTTGAGGAAGAATAAAAGCTTGAGAGAGAAAGAGAATCTAGTACAGTCAATTAATTACAATAGAACAGGGACTCAGCAGGCTGACAAGGAGGATAATGGACAAATACTGTATTAGAAGAACATAAGAGATGCAATAGTGACTTGAGAATCAAAACCAAGAAAGGTGGACAATTTAGTACTGTGATATGTGAAAGCTCGTGAGAGTACTCGGATTCAGTAAGAAGCCACATGACCCATGATTTGCAGGAGACCACCCATTTGACCAGGTTCTCCTTTTGAAAAGGCAATGGCAGCAGATACACAAAATTCCATAGCATAGATCCACCAAGACTAGAATCATAGCATAATCCTAAGAAATAAGAAAAATGTTCTAAAAGCACGATTGATTAGTTACCTCATAAAAAACATGAACAAGAATCTTAAATTCAGGACAATAATTCAAGAGATCTTATGAACAAAAATCTCAAATTCAAAACAACAAATTCAATATATCTTCCTTCAGTCCATATAATTCAATGAAACTTTAAATACGTCCTTACCCAGTTCGCATTATACAAAACAAAAAGGAAATTAGTATAAAAAAATATAATCTTCACTTGGTCACGTGGTTCAACGTAAGTTACAATTCGTCCTTACTCAATATGCACTATCCAAACAAAAGGAAATTAGTAAATATAACTTCAAACTGCCAAGAAAATCATTCTTATTTCCAATAGCTCTGATAAAAATCCAGAAATCACAAATTTATAGAACATATGATTATAGGAGTGATACCTCATCCTTGCAAAATGTAAAAGAAAATAAACCCACAAATATAATCGTCTGAAATGCATTTGAATTAAGGCAAGAACCAACAGAATAAAAAATACCTGGGCAATGGTTGGCATCGAAAGCGGTGAAAGTGAAAGCGCAACCTGGGTCTTTGATTTCCACCGACTCTCCATCCCTCAACTCAACAAACCAGGTTTCTTCGAGCTGTAAAATACCCATTAAAGAGAGAAAGATTAGCCAATCAATACCAGATACAAAAACCCAAAATCAAAGCCCACTCAGAAATGAAGAAAAGGGATATTGCGAATGTAAAGAGAGAGAAATTCAGATTAAGAAACCCCCAAAACAGATACAAAAAACCCAATTTCAAAATTAAACACCCAAAAAACAGAAAAGAAAAAATAAGAAATGGCATGCCTGTGGAGTTTGAAGAAGGACTAAAAGCTTGGTTATGTTGGTACAGTAGATGGGATAGGAGCCATGGTTGGCGATTCCAATGATGTGGTCTTTGTGGGCATGGGTAAGAAAGTGGTAATTCTTCGTTATCGATGATCGGTTCCATGTATCCACTGAAAATGGAAGGCCTTTGGGGAGAGGCACCGCCATAGCTTTACAGGAGAGAGAGAATGAATTTGGAGAGAGAGAGAATGTGGATTTGATCTGTACATGGAGGTATACATAGCTTGCAGGGGACGAATGAAAAATTAATTAGCTTTAAGGGGAGGAATGAAAAATTAATTAGAAGTCCTCATAAGTTTAGCGAATGACATGAATGACCAAAGAAAGAGGCCATGGAATGGCCCGACCTGGATACGAGTCTCAAAATAAAATAATGAATCTTTTAAATAAAAAGCATGCCATCTATTTATCATTTCAATTTAAATAATTTATTAAGGTACTTATGAAAGATTAGTAATTTGATATTTTAATCATATTGTTTGATTTAATTTTAAGATACCCATCAAAATACACATATTCGCGATTAGGAATAGTTACAAACATATAGAATATAACGAGTAATTGTTTCATGCGGGATGGATCTCATTTGTACATTACGTGGTTCAGAGGTATGAAGCATCTCTATCTCAAAGATGAATGGAAATAGGTGGATCATCTAAAAACAATTGTAACTAACGGTTCAAATGTTTTCTTAATATAATTATTATTTATATTTTTACAATTTATTTAATTTTTCATATTCATAATCTCTATGTTAAAGATTATATATTCTCTAAAAAATAGGATCAAATTATATTTAAAAGATATATTTATTGCCAAGTCTATATTTATAAATGTGTGGGCTTTGCTGCATGCTAACTGTATCCAAATATAAAAAGGTTATGCTAGAGTAGTTATACATATGAGTATTTTCTTAAGGTATTTAATATTTTTTACATATTTGTTACATTTCGCTAATTATATAGTAATTTTTTTCATGTCCGTTTGTGTTCTTTCTTTTCCTTTTATCATGTTCTTTTGTTTGTTGTTATGTAACTTCATTACCTTAATGAAACAACTACTGTGTACTTTTTTCAAAGAACACTGTAATTTTTTTTCTAGGGATTAATCAAAAGTAAAGTAGAAATTCTCAATAGAAATAGAAATACTTATTAATTATATTGAAAAATGATATCATCCACGCAAGCTCCGACATCACCTATTTGGAACAATTAGTGATTCTTAACTACTACTAGAATGACACTAATTTCATATAAAAATGTATATCTTATTCTTCGTAACAACAAAAAATGTTTTTACTCAAAAATTTTGTTTTTCAAAATAAAAATCAATAAATGTCTTACAAAATAAAAATCAATAAATATCCAAAAATATTGAGTATATTAAAGAAATACTCACGTGTATAACTACCTTAACGTAAATATATTCTATAGGTATTTTGCTAAATTTACCTTAAGGTAAATATATTCTATAGGTATTTTGCTAAATTTCCCTTCAAACTTTAATGAATGAAAAACGTTTTAAGTTTCAGGTTTTATAAAGTACTTCGAGATTTCTTCTCACGCATAAGTGCCTAACTTTTTAAAATATCACATCCTTAATATGTTAACACGTAATATCACAGGGCAGCCTGTACTAGGGATATTATCAAGTATATTTTTTCTCGTTAGAACAATAAAGATTAGGGTATATCCATTAATAACATTAAAAAAAAAGGAAAAAAAAAAAAAGGCTTTTATAGCCGCATAGATGCTCTTTTGGGAGCTATTGTATTCTTATTCCCTCGGGCGCAAGACCTAATTTGAAGGATTTTTTAAAACCCAAAACTTTGGGATCTATTTAGGTGTGATTAGATGATTATTTTAATGAAAAAAAATGAATTTTGAGTTCTAAAACACATGGATCTTGCCTTCTAAAAATTTGTGGTGGTTCTTGTTCAATCTTGGGTTAATTTTTTTTCCTTTGAAGTCCGTTGTTAGGTTCTAGAAGTTACAACTCCATATCTTATGTCCCAAAAAAACGAAAAAAAAAAAAAATTCCTTAGCATGAGTTTTACCCTGAAGGAGCAAATACACAGCATACTCCTGCAGGAATAGCAATTTTTTTTACTTTATAGCCATTGACGTCCAAGGTCATAAACTTATAGACCGATGACGTGAGATGGAGAGACGATAGTGGGGAATTAAGTCATTCAAAAATAAGTTAAGGCTCACAAAATGAATGCTCTATATTTGTTTTTGAAGGGGACTCATTTTGACTATATCTAGGGTTCAAATTGAATTATTTGTTTGATGATTGAT